GAATTCGATACGTTAGAATCGTATTGAAAAGTAAGCTTTCATTCTGCTAAATAGATCCTTAAATAAATACGTCATCAGGTCGATTTATTTTTATTATCAAAAAGTAAAATATTATTTGCACATCATTTTGTTTAATACATTAATTCCATTGCAAGGTAAACTCGTCGATTGATTGAATTGAAAGTATTTCTTATCTATTTTATATATCTATATAGATTGAAATTACAAATATTTTTTATTATTTTTAAATATTCATATTGTAATCAGAGCATAGTGTATTTTATAGTCGATCAACAATTAAAAAATTCGATCAATTAGAAATATTATTGAAGGTCGATAATAAGAATAGAATGTTTATAATTTATTGAACATAGTTTGGTAATAAATCCATAAAAGAAGTAATATATATATATATATACTTAAATCGAAATATATTGCAACTTTATTTTAGCATACAATAAAACTTAATTAACCCATTGGTTACCGATAAAAGATCAATATACATGAAATAGAATGATTCTATATGACACATGTTTTATTTTTCTTACCGCAGGAATTTACCATGAAATATAGCAAAATAATCATGTAGAAAGTTTATGTTACTTGTCGTTGACATTTACTCAGATGTCTCTAAGAAATATGCATTATAAGTGATTGCATTAGTTTCAAGCAATGATTAAGTTCACGATATATATATATGCATCGTCGGTAGCTAAAGGACTAATTTCAAAATCATTTGTTTGAATTTGATACTCGTAGTCAGATGTGTTCATAAATTTAAAATACGTTCTTAAGATATCCTGTTCATTTGTAGAGAAGAACTCTTCAATTTGTTTTTTGAGTATTCAGTTTTGTTTTATCTATTAATAATTTTATGTTTGCATTTTTTTTTCTATGAAATTATTTTTGATAGAGAAATTGAAATAAAATAAAACGAAATATCATGCTGAGATTTTTATAGAAATCTATAGTAATTCTATTACGAGTATATAACAAATACTACTTGAAACCATTTGTAAAATCAATTGCAAAAAAAAAAACTGATTTCTTCTTTCTTTTACTTTTGCATTTCTCTTCTCTCATTTATCAAACTAGAGTAAGGCGATTAATAATGGTGCAATTAATAAAATAAGATTTACTTAAGATTTTTCCGATAAAATCTAAACATGAAATTTCATAGAAATGCAATATTATTTATTGTACTAAAACAGTTTGTTTTTTGTCTATTTAGTTTATTTAAAAATTTATACTACCTTGCGACTAGATACGAAAATGTTTGCCAGTGGCATCTACAACATTTTGTATGTAAGTCATTGAATATGTTATACCCGTGATTTTACTATCATTCATATTGAGAATAAATGAGCATATATTTTTTTCATTATTTAACATTGCAGATATTGAATAACTATATAAAAATTTCGTATAAATTCAATGCAAAATATAAAAGAAATATTAGTATAACAATATCATGTTAGTATTTCTTTTATCTTGGTGTTCGTTTTTTTTTTCTTCGACCTTTATTCTGCCTTCCCTTCTTTTTTTCTCTGTTGAATTTATTCTTTCTTCTTCTTTTTTTTCTTTCTATGTCAGCTCATGCTTTCGTATACGCAGTATTATTCTCTTCTTTTACTCTAGAGTTCTTTTCTTTTTTTTTTTTTGTCTCCATCCTATCGTTTCTCTTCTTGCATTCAAACTCAACATAGTTAATCATTCTTGCATCTACCATGTGAATTGACAACGAGTGTAAATAGCATCCGATGAACGAATGACTATGGTCGAGAATAATTCTTATTTTGACAACTATAATATGAGATCGTGAACAAAACGACAAGTAAGGTTTATATACTTGCTAATTGGATACCTATGTTTTTTTTTCTTTGGTTTGTGGATTTGTTCTCTATACGATAAATTGCAAGCATATGTAAGCAAATATTTGTCTGGGATTGACGATTATGATTATTGTGATGCCTTGTACTACGACTCATTGAAAAACGATTCAACCATTCTAATATGACATTCGAAATAAAGGAATGCGTGAGAATAACTTAAAACATTAAAGCCTTTTTTTTGCATAGAGGCTTCATTTAATAGTACTTGTTAAGAATTATACTTTCGTATATTTTTTAGTCATTACAGAAAATATAAGAAAGATGAATAAATTATTATTTTTTCTCTAAATCTACTATGGTATTAAAAAATCGATAAGAGTATAGTGATTACACATAAACATGTATTTTTCTTCTTCAATGCCAAATAAAAATAATAAATGCAAATATTATGAAATATATCTGATGTATTACATCTTTTCAACCAATCATTGCCTGTCTTCGTATGTTCTATCGAAATAATATTACAAAATATTGAAAATAAAACCAATGTTCATATGTATAGAAATATACTAATGAGGGAATTTTATTAGTCTCATGAGAAGAGCTTGGTAAGACTCGAAAAACCCTAAAAGAATTCGTATATCCATTGACTTCTGCAACTGAATGATGATTATTTTACTGAATTGTCAATCCAGCTTACTGAAAAATCAAATAAAAGGCTTTCAACCTTCAATTTCGTCCATAAACAGATCGAATAACTAGTAGAATATCCTGAGAGTTTCGAATGAAAAAAGAATGTTCCTTTTTCAAGATATTGAATTTCTAAAAAACTAATCGCTTACTTAGAAATTCAATATCTTGACAAAACATAATTTTTTTTTTCTCATCTGAAACTTTCGAGATATTCTACTAGTTATTCGATTTGTTTATAGGTAAAATTTTAGATTGAAATACTATTATTTGGCTTTTCAGTAAGCTGAATCGAGAATTTAGTAATATTGTCATGAGTTTTCAGGAAAATTTTCTCTACAAAAGAGGATAAACTTTCGATAGCGGATAAATTTTCA